TATGATGATACTATAATATATGGGTAAAATTTAAAATTAATTTGTTATATTCGTTAATAAAGCATAACAAATACGTTTCATGCGGCAAAACGAAAATATACGCGCTACTGAAAACATTTATAATTAATAAAATAAATTTTTTTTTGCAATTTCAGTGCATAGAGGTTGTAAATGGAGGTCTGTTTTTGTAAAATATACCTTAATTGAATTTTTTTGTGCGTCGTATTATTATATTAAACGAAAATGTCAAAAATATAACACAAAATCTATATTTTTTCAATATAATATGCTTTTAAGTATTATTTAATATTTTAAAACATGTTTAAGTAATGGATGTATATCATAGCAACACAGAGTGTTGCTGTTCTAAGTGAAACAGAGTATGTATGCATATATATATATATATATATATATATAGAGAGAGAGAGAGAGAGAGAGAGAGAGAGAGAGAGAGAGAGAGAGAGAGCAACGTTCAAATCAAATCTCCGCACCTTCTGTCGCTTCGCGATGCATGTGTATAATCTGACGTGTAAGCACACGCAGGGTATCGCCTTTCTCCGGCCGAGTCCAATTTTTCGCTTTGCAATGCATCTCGGCTGTACAACTTAAAATCGCTTGCGCAACACTTGCCGAGGCGTCGCGAGAAATATACGGCCGGTCCAAAGTTCAGCGATCCTCTCGGGGGCAACGGAAACGCCGCGCCGGGGGTATCTATATGTATATATATGTAAAAGCGCGGGTAAAAAAGTTGCGCGAGTCCGCGAATAATGGGCCTGGTGGCCGTTGACGGGAACGCTCGTTAATCAAGCCGATTAATTGAGCACCGCGGAAACCGACCGCGCGGATACCTCCGCCGTAGAAAACGGTACTTAAATACTGCATAGCTTACCGATCTTCCCCCTCCCCCTCTACCCCATTCTCTCCCAGTATAACGAGGCACAACAACGAGGTATCTGGGAAATGGAGCATTTCGCCGATGCATCGCGTTTCCTCTTACACCGCTGCGGCGAGCGCGATGATGATATAGTCGTGGGGGATCGGCACATCGTGTACACAGTCGTCGCGTATACAATTGCAGTAATAACGCCGTAGGGTAATGTCAGATCGAACGATGACCCGTCTGTTGTTTACATTGTCGGTCTTTTTATACGCTTCGGGACAGATCGTAATTGATTTTCCGCGTAACACGCGCGGGGATCTATTGCGAGATAGGTGCATCGAGCCCCCCTTTCCCCTTATTGTTCAGCGAGAGAGATTTAAAAACACCGGAGTCTCCCGCTTCGATTAAAATTTTAAACTACTTGCAATTTAGAGAACGATTTTAAAAAATCCATTTTGATATTCAATCGAAACAAGAACAACAATTAAGGTCTGCAGTCAGAGATCGAAAGCGCGATTTATACATACGATTTATACGATTCATTAATAGATAATTATTTTTTCCATAAAGAAAGAAAAGGTATAGGTACACAGCTGAAGTACAAGTGTACGACTATAAAATTTGAAAATATCTACGGCTGTCTATGTGATTTGTAATTAAGATGAATTTTTATAAGTGGCTGGGAAGAAAGTTATTTGTGCGCGTGAAAGATAAATCTGCGTCAATTAGCCAACAAACCGATTTCGATTTCACCTGTGACGCCCGCCGGCGACGTTGTGATTATCCTCCGCTATACGCGGATCGGGGTTGGGCATTTTTGCCTTTATGCCAGCCCGTTCACATCGGCAGGATGAGAGCCACTGACCTCCACTGTCAAGGTTGGGACCACGGCACTAATTGAAAGTTCATTATAGTGGTCTATACCGTTCCTTGGCATAAACTCAAATCCAATCAACAAGCGCGCGCGGCGTATACGGTACATCGATGTGTAATTGCTCAAACACATTCCCGTAATGAATTCCGTGTTCCACTTAGTTCCGGCTATTGCTCTCGCTATTTCGCTAATTCGCCCGCGTCGCCCGCAGTCCGCAGAAAGAAGTGGAATATCAAGCCTTCTTCTCCATTATATACGCGGAAATTGCAATCAGTTCGTCGCGACCGCATGAAATCCAGATAACCCCTTCGCACTTTCGAGTCTCGGCGTCTCGTCGCGGTTCTCGGAACGGTAGGTTAACGGAGTTGAAGTTAATCAAACTGACGCGCCGACATGTTAATAAAAGTACGAGTATTAGCGAGAGTCGTGTCGCGGACGGAGAAAGATGCTCGGCATTTTTAATATTGGTCCTTTTTGTACGAAATAATGATACTTTTTTTTTTGCAGCGCTACATGCATTTCCCTAAAGATATTAATTGGATCTCTCGGCAGTTTTTATAAAGATTTATTTTATAAAGTCTCGTTAGATATTCCACACAAAGAGAATTATAATATATAATAAATATGATAGTTTAAGAAGATTAATGTGCACAAAGGACAATGAAATTATAAATAACGAGTGCCGTATCAAGTTATAATAACGAAGTTGATGAATACGAACGTAATTATCGTAATAAGATTTGGTCTGCTGCAGCAAAAACTCTTCGCGCATTCAATACGCAATGAACTTTGGATACAGTAAAATTCGCAAACTTTGCGAAATTTATCGTAATGCACAAGTTCGTGCCGTATTTCTCTATTTCGGAAATTATCACTTTGAAAGTTTGATCGAGAAGTAATAGTTTCGACTTTACAAATTTTCTAATCGTTAGTTTACTATTGTGAATAAGATGCGAAGAAAAAATCACGATACACGTATTATATTCTCTTAAAATAATTTATAAATTTAATGTTTTCATTAAATGCATTAATTTAAAAATTTTCTCTCTTCACTCAAAACTATACCTGAAAGCTCCAGGAGACAAATATACAATAACACGTATTATTAATAAGCGTTACGAAGGAAAAAAATTTTCTTTGTTTATTTCGACGCGACGCGATCCTTCACGATTATTCCGCGCAGCTTCTCGCGTTGCATCTCGAAGGCCAGCCGAGCCACGCTGATGGAATTTAAGTTTCGTCTGCGCGCTTCTCTCGTGGCGGCGACCTTCACAATGGGAAGCGCGCCAAGGGAAAAGCCGGGGACCCCGGGCGGGATTACCTGCTCGCTATTTACCTCGTACCTGACGCCATTGTCGACCGGAGTCGACGGACGGGACCGGGGACGGGACCCCCCCTCCCCCCTCCCCTCTTGTCCCCCTTGCTGCTCGTCTAAACTTTCTCAAGAATTCCGTGCTGCACACGCGGCGCACCGTGCGTAGCGTCCGATACGCATCGCCGTAATCGTTAAGTACGGTCGGACGTGTTTGGGATCCGGCCTTCCACCTCCGCAACGCGCCGCGCCGGCAGGGTGGGTCCACCGCGCGCACGGCACGGTGCGCGCACCTGCGTTTCCTGTCGCTCGGCACGGCGCGGATCGTGGACGCGCACCTGACGCGCCGGAAGACTGACGCCGCTGACGCGAGAAACTCACGGCCGATTTCTTTCTACGAGACAAAAAAAAAATGCTGATCCGCGCTGAAACGACGGGACGTCCGGGAGACACGGGCAAGGGGTAAAAGCAAGGGGCGAGGCGGAGGGAGGGGTGGGGGAAACGATGTCCCGATTAGGAGTACAGCTAATCGGCAAAAAAGTAAATTTTCCGTGTTTTCGCTTCGCGCTGCCGCACCGCCGCCTCGCTCATTTTGTTTACCAATAAGTTGCTTGTTTTTCGCGGCCATTTACTCGTACATACTCCCGTACCTCGCTCGAAAACACGATCGAACGGACGAGCTCTTGCGCAAGAATCGTTATTTTAATTCCCGCGATGTTTGCGTTGCGCGGGATATTTCGACGGGAGAGCGACGGATTCCGGCGGAAGTGCCGGAGGGACGCGACGTACTTTCGCGAAGAAGTTTGCTCTCGTGCATTACACGCTTTTCTTGTTATATGAGAAAGTTTAAGATTTCACGACGGCGCGCGGCGGCGGAATCGAACGATTTTTCGTCCGCTCGGTCGAAAAGCGAAGGTCCGCGCCGGACGGGAGCGTTTCACCGTTTTTCAAAAGGACCTCAATTACCGCCCTCGGGATATCCTCCCTCCCTCGGCTTTGCCGTGAATCGTGCACCGTCATTCCTCGGACGCCGCGCGTACAACTGCACGCACGCGTCTGCACGTCGTCGTCATCTGGCGCGTAATCGCATCTCGCGCTTTGTAGGACGCGCGAGGAACACGTCGCGCTGGAATTACCAGCAGATCAATGAGTTTTTAGGTCAAGGATCGAATATAGTTAGCCGATTCTATTACGGCGACAGCGGGAGGGAGGAGGGGGGATGGTGGTTCCTCTCTCGCGACGACGTTCGGTAACTGTAACGTTTCTCGCGACTATACCTGCACGTTTACCGCGACCCGAAAATTCCCTGACGTATCAGGTCGATTACTATTAGTCATCGGCTCGTCTTGCGGAACAGTGACAGTCCCGCCGACGCGTCTACCTGATGATGCGCACATTTGTCGTCACCGATCCGATATCCGCAACGAGACGTCCAACGTCACGTCGTGATGTCCCGTGACGTTGTGGCGACGGCCGGCTAGTGGATGCGTCACGTCGAAGGAGATTGTATCGAGAAACGTGAAGCCCGAGACGCATCCTCGTCGTTCGTTCGCATTCTCGTGCGAAATAAGACGCGTTGCGTGCGCGCGCGAGAGAAAGGGACTAAGTCTCTCTCTCTCTCTCTCTCTCTCTCTCTCTCTCTCTCTCTCTCGTCTCC